AAGGAATAGAGTTTCAAAGACCTATTCTGCTGGGAATTTTTACATAACCTTGGTTATGCCCCTGGGAATGTTCTAGAAAAGGTAAAAGGTAAATGTGAACATCATCTATCCTGTGAATCACTGTAGAGAAAACACTGAAAGGAACTAATGTAACCAAATGGAAACAAATTAGTTGGAAAAATTATATTACCGTAATGAAAAAAAATGAGAGGTAGTGCTATGATTGCATTTAAAGTATGTGATTTAAAATAGAAGATTATTAATGTATTAAACTTAAAACACATAATTTACAAAAATGCAGCTTATATACAAATTTATATCTATTTTGGAACGATAAGGCTAAGTATTCTTTAAATCCTCCTTTCTGAAAAGAGAATTCTACTTCCTCTAGACTAAAGCATATCTTAGAGTAATTCTGCTTTTTTTTTTCAGCAGTGTCTGAGTTTTGAAAATATTTGTTTCTAAGAAATAAACAATTTGTTAGAGCCAAGTAATCTTTTCTTTTAGCCTCTACTCATTCCTAGGATGGACTCGGAGGGAGTATTTTGTTTTCATTTGGCTTCAATAACTACAGGTGCTTCAAAAGTCAGCACCCTTCAAAGGTTAGCAGCAAGCTATAGATCCTTAGATTCTAGATTTTCTACTGACATATTTTGTAAGTAAAAATAAAGGATGTTTGGAAATATTTTTAGAGAATACCCAAGTGTTATGGTTTAATCTCATTTTTCACAATTCTGAATGCTCTGCTCTCTACTCTTCTACATAGATTTACACATTACAGTCAAATATATGTTCTATAATGCAGTGTTAAGCAGACTTAGGCTGTTCATTCTCCTTACCTACATTTACCAAAGAACTAAAGCAAAAAAAAGAGAAGCATTTTACTTGATTGAGGTATGTCAGGAAATCTGATTATGTTTGAAAAAAACAGTCCCATAGAGTTTACAGACAGGCCATACAGAGGAGGTGGGGTTTCTTTCTATTCTTAGAGATAGCATCCCTCTGCTTCACTAACCATTCCCAGAGAAGAATCAAACATTTGTAAAGGCATTTAGCAAACAATCTAACCTTTCAGTTCCAATATTTGATAACCTCCTCTACCCAAAAAACTTAGGATTTAATCCATACACCCAATTTCTCTTTTTAAATCATTTCCCTTTGTTCTGTTCTCAATGAATGTTGAAATTAGATGTTCACCATCTGCGAACAATAGTCTTTTATATGTCAAAGGAAACGTGAAATAAAGCACACCTCCATTTTCTTTTTATTAGGCTATTTCAGATTTATTTTTACCTTTGTTTAGAGGTTTCCTTTAAAATTAGGTGTTGTATTCACAAGTCCCAGAGCCAGATTTGTTAAACTGTAAATATTCACTATTGGATAAAAATAAAACCTCAGCATTCTGAAAATGTTTGGTTAAACATTCATGGTTTTAGCATGTTTTTCCAGAATGAGACTATATCTAGTGTTTTAAGGCATGATCATGTATTTTCCACCTTAAGAAGGGAATTAAGGCTTTGAAAACACTTAAGAGGAAAGGAGCATTAAGAAGCTGACCACATTTATGTGATCCAAGTTTACTTACTGTGCTTCTATAACATGCTAGGCAGGACATGCTCCTAATCTTCCAGAAGTTTGCAGTCTTATTGAAGAAATATATGTGTCTAAAATGTTCTAAGTACAAGATACAAGATACTGTACAGTCTAACTCTGTAGGACAAGGATGGCAAGGAAAAGCCAAGAAAGACTTCAATGTGGTGAAGTCTAAGCTGAGTCTGAAGTAGGTGGTCTACCAATACCACCAAGCAAAAGTAAAAGTTTATAAAGCAAAATGAACAACACGTGCAAAGGCAGAGAGACATAAAACAGCTCCATCTGTTTGGATAACTGAAAAATTAGAAGGGCTCAAATTCAGGGGACAGGCATGGCAAGAGTTAAAACTGAAACAGCAAGTCAAGGCCCAGATGGTAGAATAATGTTCTGTAGGGGTTTACTCTGAAGAAAGTTTAAGGAGAAAATTAACAAGGTCAGACAGCTATGCATTAATGCCACTGCAGAGAATGGACCCAGAGGAGGGAAAATTGAAAAGAACATCACCAGTCAAAAGGCTTACTCACAGGATCAGTCAAGGTAAAATGTAGGTGTGAACTCAGAGACTCAGAGACAATGAGAGACCACAAAATTAAGATATTTTTGAAAGGTAGAATCAACAACTTGGTAAGCAAGTAGAAGGGTATGCTAAAGAACTGGGAGGAATTGAAGACAAAGATTTTCAGCTTAGATAGTGATGCCATCAATGTGGAAAGGCAATAGAAGTGCAAAAGAGACGCTGATCAGGAAAAATAAAAATAATTTCTGCATCGGCCTGGCTGAGTGGGAATTGTCCATGGAGCATCATGCGTAATGGTGCTTTATGCCGACACTTAGCTAAGGGCTGAGGGTTGACTCCCAAGGTGTTGGTTTTTTCTGACTTGGCACAAGGATCACAGTGGATCAGGGGAAGATGTCCAATAGACAGGGGCAGGAGAACACCCAGGCCAGCAAGAACATAGGAGACACCCTATACAGAACTGTGCTGACCACTACAGCAACCAATAGCCACATGTATCTCTTTAAATTTATAGTCACAGAAATTGGGCAGCCCCGGTGGCGTAGCGGTTTAGTGCCGCCTGCAGCCCGGGGTGTGATCCTGGAGACCTGGGATCGAGTCCCACATCGGGCTCCCTGCATGGGGCCTGCTTCTCCTTCTGCCTGTATCTCTGCCTCTCTCTCTCTCGCTCTGTGTCTCTCATGAATAAATAAGAAATAAAATATTAAAAAAAGTAAAGTCACAGAAATTAAATTTAAAAACTCATTTCTTCTGTCCCATTTACTACAATTCATGTGCTCAGCAAGCAACATGGTTAATGGCTACTATATTGAATGGTACAGAAACAGATTATTTCCATCATCACAGATAGTTCTATGGGACCATACGAGGATGGCCCAGGTTAAAGAACAAAGACTCAGGGACAGAACCCTGGGGAAAAAAGAGGGAAAGAAGATGAATGGAGTGAGCAGAAGTAATCCAAGTAATTAAAATAGAAAGGAAAATTCATCCCACTGTGGACCAAGAGAAGAAAGAGTTCAAGGAAACGAAAGAGTCAAATATGAAAAACTAAAGAGGTCAAATAAGAAAAAGAACAAAAATTTCTTTCTGGTAGTGATTTTACTCTGGCATTTGGTATAGTATTGGAATCATTACCAATTTCTTCAGATGTGAAATGACTCAATGAGAATAATTCTCCCACTCAGATGACAGGTTTAGCTTTTAGAAAGAACTCAAGTGTCCCACAGAAAGAGAAATGCTGGAAATGTGACCATTCACTTCCCACACCTTAAAGAAGAAAGGAAGGCCCTGCCTAGCTGTCATCCTTGGCTGTCATCTTTCTAGAAATTTCTAAGGGTCTCTAATTAAGGTCTATATCATTGCCGAATAGGTTTCTTGACATCATCTAATAACTATAGTCGACATCAAACAGCACACAAAATTCTCTCTTCTCTGATCAAAAATCAGGCTGATAGAAGAGCAGTTACCAGGGGCTCGAGGCAGTGAGGAGTTATTTTTTAGTTAGTACAGAGATCAGAATGAGATGATGAGAAAGTTCTTTAGGTGGGCAGTGCTGATGTTTCCACAATGTGAGCACCACTGAACTGCACACTTAAAAAATAGTTAAAATGGTAATTTTTCTGTTAGGTATATTTTACCCCAAGTGAACAAAAAAATTTTTAACAAAGCTGAACTAAAAACACAGGAGGGAATCTGGACATTACCTCTTACCACCCTTGACACTTGGTAAATTTAAAATAGCAAACGTAAAGGGGAAAGCATCGCTCACAGACCTCTGTTCCTCAAAGTCATGTATTTCTATGAGATTCCATGTGAGATAAGGGTTTGATAAACTTTATAAGGCACTAAGCATCTCTAGTTGCTGTTGAAACTGCCCCCTGTGAAACTGTCAATGGTCTGGAAAAATGAAACAAGTTAGAGCTCTAAATGGTACTATCAGAATGAAAACGTATCAGGTCACTTTCATCATCAAGATGGCATTTATAGGGATGCCTGGGTGGCTCTTCGGCTCAGGGCGTGATCCCAGGGTCCTGGGATCAAGTCCTGCATCAGGCTCCCCCCAAAGGAGCCTGCTTCTCCCTCTACCTGTGTCTCTGCCTTTCTCTCTGTGTCTCTCATAAATAATAAATGAAATATTTTTTTAAGGAAGATGACATTTATACCCCCCTTCTTTACTATTTACACATCAGGTCAACAGCTGCAGTTAGTTGGTAGAAGGGAGAGCATAAATAGGTGGAGGAAAGCCCGAGATAGCCACGTTGGTAGATGCATTAATGCTCACTCAGGGATTACGGGGAGGCCACCGTCCCATGAATCATGACTCGCGTTGTCTGACAGGCCCTGGAGCAAAGCTCAGGGAAAGAAAACACCCAAGGGATCCTAAGAGAAGCCATGGGCTACTTCCATTTGTGTTACTGTAACCAGGAAGCAGAAAACGAAGCTAAAAATTACATCAAAGTAGGTGAAAGTTCATGAATAAAAAACAGGACAAGCCAACAAATTTTTCAAAGTCATTCAATAAAGTCTCATGTGGATCTTTACTGGCTTTCTCCCATCAACATTCAGACTTTATCTCGTGAACATACCAAAAAACTGGAAGTAAACATTTGTACATTCATCGATCACTGCCTATTTCTTCTCCAAAGGTATTAGCCAAATACAGAGAATCAAAATCAAAATGGTTTTCCTTAGCTACTATTTGGAGCTCCGCTCAGATCATACAGGGATTCTGCTAATGTCACTACCTGACACACAGAATCACCTCATGACTATAAGCTAAAAAGGTACCAACATAATACGAGAACAGACACTGGAGGTAGAAACCAACCAAAGAGAAAGAAGGAAACAAGGAAGACAGAGAGATTCAAGAGATGAGTCATACTATACTTACAACTTTCAGCCTGATAGTCTGGCACAAACTGCTCATCATTGTCAGGTACCTGAGCTGAAGAAAAAAAAAAAAAATTAAAAAAAAATTAAGAGAGAAACTGCCAAGGCATAAGGAATGTCAAGCAAGATCTTTCAAAGTAAGATCTTTTTTCGGCTCAGACCAAACCTATGATTATTTGCCAATGAGCTCCCATTTAAAATGGTATTGACAGCAATACTTGGGAGGGAAAATAGAAGCAACCATTGATGTCAACTAGAAAACATAAGTGTCAGAAATCTAACTGTGGCAGTTGTGTCCCTCTGAATATCACTTGCCAGACAGAAATAAAAGAGACATGCAAAATAGAAGAAGCTACAGGATTTCTATTAGCTGCAGTGCTTCTTTGCAAGAATGGAGTAAGAAGTATTTCAATTCACCCACTGCCAGTGCTTCAGCAGCCCATCGAAATTAACTACAGCACTCTTTCAAATGATGTGTGCAGTTACACACATCCCTCTACTTTTACAGAAATGCCTGCTTTTGGTATATTCAGTCAAGTGCAAATTAGACTACCATAATTAAAGGTGTTCCATCTAAACTTGGCCAAGACATGCTACAAAGATTTTTTAATGAAAGCATGTCCATTGATTTTGCTCATATAGAAAATAAAATATTTTAGTGATTATGTCATAATAATAAAATTATAAATAACAAAAATAAACTCCATCTTTTCATGCAAAATATTTTCCGGGCAACTATACAACATTAACGAAAAGAGTATCACTATTTCATCAATCCTAATGTCAAGCAACTTCCCTATTTTTAGTAAAGGAAAAAAATACTGAATAGCAAGGACTTAATGCATTCGGCAGCAATCAAAACATAAGTACACTTTTTCGCTTCTAAAATATTTTCATCACGGCTGATTTAGACATCAAAATAATCTATTTCGAATTGATAGGATATTAGTAAAATACATCTTCACATGCACACATAAGTATACACACTCTCTCACACACACAAACTACATAAAATAGAAGTTAGTTCCTTTTAATTTGGTGAAAATAGGAGTTATCTCATTTAACTTTAGCTATGATCTGATGACTAGTATTACTTTACTAGTAATATTGAACACTGAAATGCTTTATCCAGTCAAATTATATTAAAATAGATTCAATTAATTTTTTTAAAAACAGCCTACTGTGAATAGGAAATGTTTATGAACATAATCATTCTCTATGGAAAAAGTTTCGGGTAGGTAGTTGAATGAGTTAAGAAAAATCACCTATAAAAAGAAATTCTATATTCAAAAGAAATACAACATAAATAGTATTAAACATCCTTTTGCATCAGCTTATGGAATCACATTTTTAAAAACAGAAACATGTGGCTGAATAAAACTTGTGTCATATTATTAAGAGCAGAACAAATGATAACCTTGCAGATTGTTAAAATATAGTCTGACATTAAATTATTTCCTAACAATCTATGTACACCCATACTTCAACTTATTAAAGACAAATTCTATCCTCTGTCACCAAAAATATTAAGAACCTTCTTCCAAGTTATAAATGATCAGCATATAATGGAAGAAAAATTTTTTTTTCTCTTTATATTCCACTGACGTCTGCTACCATGGGTAACTAAAGCCATGCAAACTTCAAGTCATAGTTTTATGACTTTCTATCTGTAAACTGTGTACACTATTTAACTTATTTGAACTGTATTTCATTCATCAGTTTAATAATGATAATACAGGGGCTTTGTGACAATTAAATTAAATCCTCAATGTCACTTATCTTTTTCAAACTTTCACCTCCCACCCATTTCTTTCAATTTACATACGCAAAACTACGTCAGTCATTAAATGAAAGTTTAAAATCTTCACTTCTCCTAAATTATACTGGAAACAGATAAAAATAACAGCTAAAATTTGTACATTAGTACTCTCTTAACTATAAACATTTTTGACATTACAGCAAGCTTCATTTTTCTCACAGATTCGTGTAAGTGGGGAAATCCCCTTTAAAACAAGTCTTCACACCAAAAAAATACAAAAATGTTTTCAATATCTATTTAATAAATAACAGCAGGTAGACAGAACCAAATCCTACACATTTTTTCCATCATACCCACATGTTTTGGTTTTCCTTCTAAATTAACAGCTAAACAGACATAACTATTGAGATGCAAAATTATCAACCACAGCAATTTACTATGCTTTTAAAAAGCCAACATTTACAAGAATCTAATAAAAATGTAATATCCCTTTACAGGAATAGTTAAAAATAGCTGGTGAGTAACAAAAATATATTTGTAACTAAATATGCTGGTATGAATGTCCTAAAAGCCAGACATTATTTTTTCCCTACTATCGTATCACAAGACAAAACTGCAACTCTGTGATATGTATCACTGCAAGAAAGACATAAAAATCACTGTGTTGGGATAGGTGTGAGGGGAGAAAAAAAAAGCAAAATTTTAGAAGAAGCTGGAAGTCATACTTCACAAATATACAGAAAATAGGTCCATAACAATTTGTAAAAAGAATAAGAATTGCTATAAGAATTGCTATTTCTGTTCTAACTCCTTAACATACTGAATAAATACTTCACACTTATGCCTGAACATATTACAGCATTTTAACAAAAAACATATGACTCACATTTTCACAGAAGCTAATCTTAAGAAACGGAATAGACCAAATGAAGCAGCATGCTACTTAAATAGACAAAGGCTTAAGTATACTTCTAATTTCAAGTTAGGGTAAAGGGAAAGCAGTTAACGAAAAACACACGTTGGATCTGGGCAAGGAAAATATGACAAAGTATTGCCACACTCCTATCATTCGCTTCCTCTTTTCCTCAATTCACGGGAATTCTGTGAAGTAGCAAACTACAGCTGCCTGAAAATTTGTGGCAAGCCGTACCAACTCCAAAGTGGAAAATTAAGAATAGAGGCCAACCTTTAAAAAACACAATTTTCACTGCTATCTCTTATAAACTAGGCTTGGAATAATCACCTTTGGGGAATGAAAATGTTTCCCCACACTATGTAATTAAAGAGGAAGGGGAAGAGTAAGAAAGGGCAAGGGGGAAAAGTACAGACCAAAAGACCAATAAAAGGCTTTCAAGAAGATGAAGCATGTGGATTTTATTGGTAATAGCTGGAGCGGCTCTATCAGTTCATTGCACATTAATAGACAAGTTGCCATCAAGTCTCAGGACTCCGGCTTTAAAAGGGTAGTATCTGCTCTCTCAGCTATTTGCTTTACCTAGATTATTATCCAAAGTTGTTGTGTTCTCTCTCTCTCTCTCTCTCTCTCTCTCTTTTTATTGCAAAGCAATACATATTATAAGAAACAAACACATGAAAATATTAATCATGATCTAGACATCACAGAATCACTAACCCTCGTTTTCAGCTTCAACATACTTTCTTAACACTTCTGGGGGTGGGGGCAATTTTTAAGCAGGGTTCCTTGATTTTTATGCTTAAACTTCCAGAAAGAAATTATAATTACTTAAGAAAAGGTGGGAGTTTACATATTTTCCAAGCCTGGCTGCAGCCAAGTAAAAAGCCCCTGGTTCCTGACAAACCAGGGGTCTGCAGAGTTTTCTCCCAGAGGTAGGGGTGAAAAAAAGCGGAAAACTCACAAATGGAACACACGTCAAGTATAAAAGGGGTTAATATTTAATTAAAACCAGTTCTATCCACTGTAACAATGACCTGGAGCCAAACAAGGCGGAAGATGTATGAGTCATTCTTTCTGCCTGTGAATGAGACAGCTGATCTCCTCAGCAATTCCTCCAGACAAGCAGGCAGAACTGGAGTTCTGCCTCCATTCACAAAAACACAGTCCAGCATGAGCCATGTGGCCCAACCGCAATCTTTTCATGTCACACCCTTCCAGGGAGCTAAAGCAAGTCAACTTGAACTTGCAATAAACACAGCGATTTTACTGCTCTGTCTCCTATACAGCTCAGATCCATTAAGGTATATACATTTAAATAAATGACAAATTTACAAAACTAAATCAATCTATAGCTAGATAGACAGATATAGACAGACAGAGAGATAACCCATCCTGCTTTATACAGTAACTTACAACAAAAACTTAAATGTATAAAACTAGGAAGGAAGGAGGAGAGGGAGGAAGGAAATAAGAGAGTGGGGGGGAGGGAGGGAGGGAGGGGAAAAAAATCATTAAAGAAATGTCTTATTTTTCTTGCCTATTATTCAGAGTTTCTTTAGCCTGAGATGATAGTAGATTTTTGCTGACCTTTGTGGCATTTCTCTTTGAATCAAAGAATTAGAAACAAGTTTCTCTAAATAAACTTAAATTGTATTTTAAATAAAAGTAAAACAGCGAGAAAATCAACCTTTGCGTGGTATTCTATTTAATCATGAAATGAAGCTTCAGGCCATGGAACAAAATAATCATGAAGCCACGAAGCCTGGTTTTATACCACATCCGCTTTTAAAAATTAAAAATGATTGTCCTGATGTATGAGCATTAATTAATACAGGAATATAAACATATTTAAAGAAACAAAAAAAAAAAGGGGGGGGAGGGGGAGCTACTTCCCCATGACAGAAACATCTTTAATACTTGATATTCTAGAAGAAAGAAAGCAGTAAGTTCCGGTTGTCCTCAGTCTCAGGGCAGCTTCAATGGTAATTCTACTCTGACCTGGAGTGACTTAGAAACAAGCATAGCTTACAAGCTGTTGTTTCTATTACCTAATACTACTACGGAGGTCTGACATTGTTATTATTATTATTGGTGGTGGTGGTGGTGGTGGTATTATTATTATTATTATTATAATCATACGCTTGTACACAGGTCAAAGGAAATAAAATTATATTACCAAATTCAAGAAATGACACATTGCTTGTCACAGAACCAGAAAAGCAGTATTTCATGAATCCTGATTAGGACCCTCTGGAAAACATAGATCTAAGCTATACTACAACCAAATTCTATTTTTAACCAACTTTTTAAATTTGCTAGTAGACCCTACATGAAAAGACATTTATATAATTCCAAAAAATATTTTAAAATATAATATACTTACTCTACCTGCTATCTTTTAATCAAGTCCAAGTAACAAGCAGTCTTCCTTTCGTATTTTAGACTATTTCCTGGTGCAATAAAAAAAAAAAGGAGTAGGAGCGTGCCCCTCCCCCCCATACAAAATAATTCATACTGAGAAAGAGTATGGACTTCTGTAATTTAATCCTTAATTCTCATTTCATTTTTTATGTAAGCCACATAAAATAATGTAATTTTTAAAGTCTTTAGTTCGTACCATATCACATAAAAAAAGTAACAAGCACATATCCAATGCATGTGCGAGAAACAGTATAATTGTTGAAAAATAAAAACAAGTACATTAGGATTATGTGCATTGTGGATGACTAGTGAGTAACAACAGTACACGTTATTTAAATGAACTTCATAGTAAGTTCTTCTGAATGTAAATTTAGTATCAGCTACTGCAGTAAATGGAGAAGATATAATGACATCTCTAGTGTTAAGTCAACCTTTATTTGAAGGTCACACAAAACAAAAGGAAAAAAAAAAAAAGCCTTATCTGCATGAAGCAATAACCTGTGGTGTAGGGAGGTTGTTCTTGGACATAAAACTTCGATTCAAGTGGGGAGGCTGCAGGAAACCTACTTGCTATATAACACCACTGAAAAACATCCTACCCTGTGGCAGCGAATCACTATTGACTTTTGTCCTTAATCCTACTGGTGAAAGGGAACCTCAAGAACATCTAGCTCCACACCAAAAACAATGTTCAAAAGTTGCTGTGAGTTTGCATTAGATATGTATGAAATTTATTCTTTCTCTTCAAGCTGCGTTAGTAGGTAAGCTGTAGTCAGCAATTTTAGAAGAATTAAATCCTTTTTAAACTCAATTCTATATCCTTCTGTTTGTCTCCTTCACACACAAAAGAGTCCATTTTAACCATGAATTTCTAGGACACCATTCACTAAAGCACCACGTAAAACAGGTTGTTAAGAATAAGACGTTACCGTGATGCTGATAGGATTGATATATGAACTCATTATTTCATGGGATCAAATAATTGAAATCGCCTTTCTGTCAGTAGCAATCTAACTCAAAAGACCAAAAAATCAATAAAGAATTGTGCATAGTAAAATAGTATAAAGTAGCTATGGCAAAATTTAAAATATACACTTTTTTTAAGGGCTATGGTGGTCACTGAAAACCTCTTCATCAGGAGGAGGTGTGAATAGATTTCATCGTGGTAGATACGTTAAAAACATTTAAATTGCAGTGTTAGTACTTAGAAAGTGATACTAATACAAAGTTATATTCTTTACAAACATATTTTATCTCTTCTTCAGGATGAGGTGTGAATAGATTTCATCGTGGTAGAGATGTTAAAAACATTTAAATTGCAGTGTTAGTACTCAGAAAGTGATACCAGTACAAACATATTCTTGACAAACATACTTTTTGATCCCTGTTTGGAAATTAAAAATATACTTCCATGCTTCCCCTCCCAAATTAGAGGACTTTAGCAAATTGAAAATTGGGGCTCCCACCCTCACCCTCAAATATTCCTGCCTTATCTACCCTAATCTGTCTTTAGACATAAAACACGTTGCATAATCCACAATAATTTACCTATGACTAATCCATATGTCGCACTTTGAGTCTAATGTATCAAAAACTCTTATAGGAAAAAAACAAACATCTTGGGACAGATCATTTCCCAAATATTCAGGGCTTTGATCACTTTTTAAAAACATGGTTTTCAAATGACACAACTTGACTCTCATGTCTAATAAGATTTTTAGACCTGTTTAACTTCCCAGTGGGATGCTAACTCATGAGAGAAACTTGGTTAATTGCCAATGATCTTTTCTAAAAGGGTCAAGATGCCTTAAAATTCCACGGTCACTTTCTTGGCTACCAAGCATTATGAAAAGAAATATATAAACAGCCCACAGTCTGCCAATTTGGCAATGTTTTAATTTCTAGATGTCCAGAAGGACAGAAATGGACAAATCTAGTTACAAATAATCTAATGTAATTTTAAGATCTCTTCTTAATTCAAGATGTGAGATAAGTCAAATTAAAATGCTAAAACAAAAACATAATTATATAGAATTGCCAAAAATAAAAATAAATATGCAGTCTATTAACAAATAGTAAAAAAAAAAAATCTCCATTATTAGATTTTAAAAATCATAATAACAACATTTTGCTTATATCACGATAGGATAAATTAATGTAAGCTATTTTGAAAACTGTTTACATTATCCTAAAATGCAGTCTTATCCATAGTTTGTAAACAGTCGCCCACCTGAGTATTCAATAAAACACCTCCAGGATTAATTCCTTAAAACTAATTTAAGCTTCTTAATTATTTTCTGAGTAAAAGCCCATGTTCCTCCAAATACATCAGTCATTTTCTAGATTTGTTTTATATAAAGTTAGATCTTCAGATCTGATTTACAGGTGCGTTAATAAACATGGGTAAAAATACATTCAGTGCAGAGTTTTAAAAGATTAACTTGGATAAGTTATTCAAATCACTTACCAAGCGACAAATAAACAAAACAAGTCAAAAGTAAGAGACTGTACTAAAACTGATTATAAAATGGCAAGAGTCTGTCACAGAATACACATTTTAAAATTCCAGAAACAGAGTTGCTATGCACAAGCAAAATCTGCCAGCAAGTCCAATGACTTGGAATCAATGAGACTTAAACATCTAAGAACTAACAAACCTTCGAGAACAATTAAAATAGATATTTCAAGTTATTTTAGATAAGCGAATAAATGTCCTCATAAATGTAATGTCCTTGCAACCTTCAACTTTGCAAAACTAACAGATCAAAGTTAACACCACAATCTCTGTGTAAATTTTTCTTGAAAAAGTTAGGTTTGGATATATAGTTTGTGTTGCAACAGTAAGTAACCTATTGCAATAGGTTTCATTTACAGAGACAAGCAAAATGACCTTTAAATATAACTAAAACTTTCATTAATACTTACCTTTTTTGAACATGCAAATACAACCACCCTTTCAAAAGGCTACTGGGAAAGCTACTTAACTTAAAAGATTTATAAAGACTGCAAGAGCTTTTTGGAGAACCAGAATATCAGCAAAACAAAGAAACTTATTTTACATGCTAACAGCAACTTGATGAACTGCAAGCAAGACCACCGATCAAATACTGCAGTCTGTTTCAAAGTAGCAATAGCAACACTTGGGTTCCATTTAAAGAGACCCTCTCTCTTCTTTTAACAACCTTAAAAAATCTGTTCCAAAAATGCCATGTTTCCCATTTAACATACAGACAGAAATATAAATTATAATCAATGCTAAAATGTGTATAATTTTCTCTTTGTGTTTCCCATAAAACACATCCTCGGATAAAATTAATATTTCACATTTATGACAAACCCAAAAGAAAAATCAAATTATGGACACCAAAAAGAGCCCCTCAACATTAGGCATTTCTCAAGTTGTATCAAGCTGTATTGAAGCAATATCTCATTGTTCCTATAAAATAAAGTTCCAGCCAGTAAAAGATCCAATAGACTGTAACACAAAATTTTACTAAAAAGTAATTAAAAATAAGAGTAAAGCCTTTAGATGTCACATTGCTCTAGTAAATAAATCCTAATAAAAGTGACACAAAAGCAAAAATCAATTTCAGCAAATATCACATAACAGCAACAAATAGAAAATATTTTTTTAAATCCTCAAATCCCCCAAAGATTTCTTTTAAAGCCATAGATTTCCTAAGTATTGCATACACACCTAACGTTCTGTGTTGCGAGCAAGGTGGAAAGAAGACGCTTGCACTTAAATCTTGAAGCATCCCGTCCTGATGAACCCAGAGAAACTAATTTCTGCCATCAGAAAAGTCCTCCACCAGAACACCAAATAATGATATGCGCTGCTCTAAAAGAAACAGCAAGCCGGGATCTGGCTCTAGTAGGTCTCTCGAGGTACAATAATATAAACCTGATCAATTGCAATTAAAATCTGAACAGAGGCTTAGAACTTGAAGTCTTGGTGCATTAGTTCTTGCCAAAAGCAGATGTGATTGTGAGCTGGAAGCAATTTCTCCTGGTAATTTGTGATGACACTGGGTAGTGCAGCCCCAGATTCCCCAAAGACAAACTCATCAGAGACTCTAATGTATGCATGACACATGAGGTGGCTCTTTTAGAGCTCAATTAATTGGGCTGAACATTAAGACAGCAACTTCAGGACTTTTTTCCCTGTCTAGAGTTGCTTTTCCCCTCCTTTTAAAGCATTTTTTTTTTTTTTGTCTTACCTTCTGCAAGCCATGTTTCCTGTAATTGACTTAGATCTTGAAAGAGTTCTAAAAAACAAGTCAGAGACATAAACAGAAGATTTGAAAAACCTTTAGGCTCCATTAAATGGAAATGTTTGTCATGAAATTGGTATTAAGTATCAATTTAATTTGGGGAGGGGAGTCAATACAAAAAGAAAATAAGATTCATGACTTAAATAGCTCAATAATCCTGCCATGTTAATGGCTATTAAGCAATACTTCTTTAAGAGATTCTTTTAGTGAATTAAATAACAAAGGCAATATTTTCCCCCTTTTAACAACATAATAATAAGCTCAGGGACACACATACACTAGGATTCAAAAAAGGCTGAGGTGAAGGTGTATCTGTCCATGTAAACCTTTCTTAAATAGAGTCAATTCTTGCAGAGGAAAGAGGAGAAAGGCTGACAATCACTTTCTTTTTATCTTCTGAACCTTATATAAAAGATGTAACAGTACCTGGTACAATTCTTAAAGCACCGTATGTTTTGAGTTTCAATGGCTCAAAATTAAAAGGGATGACTTTTAAACACAAGATCTTAGAGGAAAATTTCTACATGAATAGATTTACAAAAGTAAAAGTAAGATAATTCCCTGGCACCTGTTTATTATCAAGTCCAAAACTCTGAATTCTGTCATAGTAGGAGGGAGAGGGTGTCCAACATGTATGAAGATTTGAGTTAAGTTTCAGAATTCAATATGCCTCATCAAAATGGCAAACTGAACTTTGATAATTAAATCTCAGTATATTAAAGTTCATTATGAATGCTCCTGTATGGCTGGAATAATTTATAAAATATTGACCTCCTAACCAACAGTGCCTTAAAAAAAAAAAAATCTGTAACCTAATTTCCCAAATAGGTATTATAATTATAAATTAGGCCTTAATTATGATTCAGTGAACACTCAAAGGCCTATAAACAAGATACTATGACCTCACCATGTAGTCATCAAAATTATCCATGAAAAGTTTGATAACAGTAAATGGTTTTAGTGTAAGAGGAATGGGAAATCAAACTACCATTCACATCGTTTAACTTCTAATAGAGTAGAAATGAGAAATTAAGTAGTATACCTAGCTGCTTACTTTGTCTCACTGTGTTGGATATTTTAAAATTGTGACCTCAGTGTATGGAATTGGTTATGTGCCATATGGACAAGAGTATTTAAACACAAAAGAACGATTAAGAGAAGGATGTCACTGTTAAGTTTTTATTTCCTTCTTTCATTAGTTTGTGACAGGGCCATAAAATATCCTCCAATGCAAACTGTCACATTATGTGAATTGCTCCAAGTAAAAGTCTCAGTTAAATGCAGTAATTTGAAAGATTGTTATTTTTAAGCTAAGACTGAAGTACTCCTCTGCTTTATGAAGGTGGGGAGGACAGGTAAAGAGGGAGGAATTCAGCCCAAAATCAAACCTCACCTTCTGAATCATGAGCCAGATCTCTGTTAATGAATTTTCTTTTCCTGACATTTGTTGGTTTCTCGTTACAATTTCTCCCACGCTGATTCTACAAAGGGAAAGATAAAATCCTTTTAAAAAATGTAAACCTCAGATGTCACACACAAAAAAACACATGCATACATAAGCCTACCGGATCCTCTCTCTAAATAGAAAAATAAAAGTCCATAGTACCAATTCCAATATTCATTTTCTGCGTTCATCTGACAGTGAAAGCTTAGGCTGAGAATTCAACAACCAGGGAGAGTTGCTTCCCAGCGCCAAGCGTAACACACTACTACTTATCAGTCATATATTCATGGCATCTCAGCATCAAAACAACATTAAGCAATCACACTTAAAGTCGTTTTTTAGCTGGATCAAAGCTAGACTAAAATACAGTGAATTTTATTCTCTCTGATACCACCCCCCAAAACAAAAAAATAGAGTGGTGAAATTAAAAACATGAGGAAAAAAAAGGAGACGACAAAAAAAGAAACAAAAACACCCCATGTAAACAAAAAGTGTCAGCGTTTGTCTCAACTTCATTCTTTTCAATGTGGCAGACAAACCCAGCCAAAAACTTTGAGTGCAGCAGCTGCTGCTGCCCTGCGTCTCCTCTTCCACTCATCTTGAGCACTTTAATCAGAAAAGAAAAGGGGGGGGGGGTCTTAAAAACAAAACTATGCCTTATCCAAATCACTGAAAGGTAAGCTCATTTTGAAGATTGGGCTTCTAGAAGCAGAGTCGCCCTACAGTGGCAACAAAGCAGATAAAGTATCTGCAATCCCAACCCCCTTACCCCCTCCCTTCTCATTCTCTCCCTCCTCCCCCCACCACCACCCCCCCTCCGTTGGAGTCAAGTTTATAAACAGCAACTTTCGAACTGATCACTCACATTGGTGACCATGTAAGGCACTTGCTGGTCATAAAATCCATCCATTCTGCTGCTCTTCGCAAATCTCAGCTGAGTGTTTTATATTTTGAGCATTTAGCTGGAGATTTCCTCGGGATCTGGACTTCTATCAACCTAGAGGGGAACAAGATGGCTTTTAGGCTAAAAAAAAAAAAAAAAAAAATCATGAATGAAGCTCTTGAATTTGCATAACTAATTACCCTCCGACAGTCCCATTCACAAAAATAACCCTCCCTACACCGCCTCCTTCACCTGGATCCAAAGAGAGCCAAGAGAGTTCACAATTTACATATTTTCGGCAGTAGCAAAAATCCGAACCAGAGGCGATGTATTTATTTACACTCTCGATGTTTCCCTGCGCGGTCGGTGTACCCCGGGCAGCTCTGATTCGCAAACGTGTGCAAAACTAGCAATGGCGATCAACGAGACTTGCTTTGCACCTAACGGGACTAAAGAGACGGAGACACCTCTTTCATAAGGATAGTTTTTGCAACCCACAACCATGCAATTATCTGGAGAGACATAAAAAGTTGCTGGAGAGACCCACCTGAAGGCCACGCTAGGCGAACGGCTGCAAAAAATTCCCTCCAAATTTAATAAAAACATTAATTATTGCCCAGCACTTCCCCTTTGGAAGCCGAAAGCGCCTCTGACAGAGCTCAATTCGGTGGTTTTTCCTCTACTTCTCCTCCAGGGGCCTCCAATCCAAACTGATGGATCGCTGCCTCCCATTGGCTCCGCGTCTCTTTCACAAGATCAGATTTCGAGCTGTCAATCAGGCGGCTCGCGGCCCCTTCTCGTGGATCTCCCGCGCCCCTCTCCCGAGCCGATGCTCCGCGCGCTGGCGCCGTAGCCACCGCCCGCGAACGCCACGGAGCAGATCAGCTGCCTCCCTACGGCGCTGCGGCTGGTCCGGGCGTCCGGGACACTGAAGCCGTGTGTATCGAGTCGCTAGTATTCCTCCCTGGTGGTGTGTTTGGTCCACTATTGGGCTAATTGCCTAAATCACTTTTGTTCGGTTCGGGTGTACACTCTGGAGTGCGACCCATCAAGCCCAAGCCCGTGCCTCCTTCCTGCCTCCCCCGAACCCTCTCCCTCAGCATCTCCAGCACCCCACCCCCCCCCCACCCCCTACTTTGAACCTGATGGGGAGCCCCCTTGGCTCTTGCAGACTCGTTTCCACTAAGCTTTTGGCCCAAATTCTTTTCCCGTTTTCCCGGCCTCCAGCACCAGTTTTGAACCGCCAACCGTCACGTAAAACAGGATCGTATCGTTCATGGGGCAGAAAAATAAAGAAGAAGCACCGGGGAACTGAGGGATCGCTTGTAAGGAGCGGCTGCGTTGGGAGGGGAATTTAGCAGGACCCCAGAGCAATCAACCTAGGCGAGGAAAAGTATAAAAAAAAACAAACGTGCCCCACGCGTGCACTGGGGCAAGGTGCTCCCAGTCCGCTGTGGAGGGGGGGAGGCCCAGGGAGGGATGGGGTGGCTCGGGTATCCCGGGCACCCGCAAGTTTCCTGAGCTTTTGTTATGTACACACGGAGGCGGAGGGTGTCACTTACTGTACTTGACGCTCTCACTTCCTCTCCAGCTTTTAAGCAGCCGCAGCCCGGAGCTGGGGGCGAGCGGCGGTAGGGCTCGGGTTTCAAGGACAACGGTCTGGACGTTACCAAGTGGGGGCTGCAACTCTGAAACCACTGCCCTGGCGCGCCTAGGAGGCTCGGAGCGGCAAAGAGTCGCTCAGAAAGCAGCCTCGGCCCAGCAACAGTAGGTGCGAGGCCGTGCGGATGGGACCAGGGACTTAGTGGTGTTGAAATTCACTTGTGATCCTGATGGGCGTCCAGAGCTAGAGACCAAAGGACGTTTCCGGCAGCTGTTCCGCCCGTAGGGAAACGTGCTGCAGTTCTCAATTTCTATTGCAAAGTTTCCTGCCTTAAATGGAACGTGAGAGAGACGCATTTGAATGAGTGTGAGCCCACAAGACTCCATTCCGGACCCCGTGGAGGGAACCTAGGAGGGTAATGTAAAAAAATAAAAAATAAAATAAAAAATTTTTTAAAAGTGCTTTTTTTCTTTTTTTTTCTTTTTTTTTTAATGAGCAGCAACAGCAGAAGTATTACTGGGTAAACACCCAGTAACTGCGGACACCCACCGTGCATTCCCTGAAACTAGTAAATCAGAGAGCCGGTGCACACGCGAGCACCCACAAGCATTTTGAGCGGGAACTGCACTTTAACCGCGGCCCAGGGAAGGGTTCCCTGGCCCTCGAAGCGGAATAGTGAGGCTCTGGGGTACATTCTGAGGGTGTAGTCAGGCGGGGAGCCAAGAGCAAGGGTGCCCCGCCGCCCCGCACTCCCGGGATAAACCAGCCTCTAACGTGAGCAACAGTTTCCAAAGACCTTCTCGGCGGCCAGAGCCTGACGGGTATCCAGGGTAACCGGGAGGGGGCGGAGCTTCCCGCCTCAGCCAATCACGTATCGTATGTTCCCAGCCCATTGTTGTTTATTGCTGACCCCGCAGCGCTCCGCTAGCAGATTGGCCGCTGCGGGGAAGGGGGCGGAGCTTCTCCCGCCCCTGCAGCCACCTTTCGGCTCCATTCACAAAATTCCGGCCTTTCTTGGTCACGTGGTTGGGGGCGTGGCGGGGCAGGGGAAATGACACCACAAAGGCCCAAGTTCCCCAAAGCCAAAAAAAACTTTTTCCTACCCCGCTACCTCCTCTGTGATCCGTCCCTGAACAAATACTATCTGAGGAAAAGGAGGCTTAGGTCTGAGAACAAGAGGAAAAAAGAAAAAGTCGGAAATTCAAAGAAGGGCTCCCAGGGCGACAATCTCAGGGTGCATGTCTACCAGAAAAGCTGCAAAAGAGGAAAGGAAGAGAGCTAAGGCGAGTGGGGAGGAAGCCCAAGGACTGACTAGTAACTCATTTCCAGCTTCAAGCCACTGCTTTCAGAAGGGCCAACAGTTCAACTGCATATAGATTTCAGTTTTCTCACCCAACTTTCCATTTTTACCTTTAATTTATCCCACAGTTGCTTGTGAGCTTCTTGAAGTTTCATGGAGGAACACTGCAGGGTTTTTCTGGCTGACAGTGTTAGTTTCCATTTCCCAAGTGCTCCCTCTTTTACAGGCTCCCCAAAGCACTCCCCCTCCTCCCCACCAGCGCTGGACTGGCAAACAGAAGCAGCGCCCTAATCCTCCCGATTTCACTCCGGAGTGAGGGGGATCTGTATTTCCGCCTTTGGATTCTTCAAACGCACTCAGCTCTGAACTATTTGATCTTAACAGTAATTGAAAATGATGGTATGAGAATAAGCAGACAGTCAGTCTCACTACAGCTCAGTTATGTTGAGACAGCACAATTTTTTTTCTGAAATAAATGGACCCTTCTAAGCAAGTGAACTATTGGACCATGCTCCTTTCTCTCACTTTCTCTTCTGGCCTTTCTCTTTCCTTCTGTGCTGTGATACCTAGTGAAACACTAGAGCTTTTCGTTGGGCTCCTGTTTATTTTCTATGCTTGGCCCTGGGGGTGGGGGTGGGGGGGTGGGGAAACCACCAATAGACCTAGTTGCTGAGGACACTGCAAGGACTGAAAATTCGTTTTTTCAGAAAAAGTGCCATTGTGGGAAATGTCCACAGAGGCAGCTGTTCTATCCACAGAGAGGAACGTCAAAAGTTGCACAGAATTTCCACTACTTTTGAAAGTGAGTCTTTAAAAAAAAAAAAAAAATCAGCTTAGCAAATGCCAGTCCTTGAATGGAAAATTTCATTTTGGCAGGATTTCAGGCAAAGAATGGCAGAACAGAGGCCAAGAGGCTTTGACATTTATTTACTTGTATTTTGAAATCCCATCTGGGTTTTGAAATAGGAGCTCTTGAGAGAAAGCCCCCCCTCAAAAAAAAAATCCATTTCCGAGTTTGGAAAGTTTTTAACTTTCATATAAGCTACTTAAATCCTTATAGTTCCTTTGCTGATATTTAATAAAATAATATTCATTAGGGCTTTTCTGCAGTTTCTTATTATACCATTATACTGAAAATGCATGATGTTAGAGTGAGTTTCTAAAAGCAGCAAAAAAAAAGAGAAATGATACTGCCTGTTTTAAATGATTAATATGATTAAAAGGAAATAAAGTTTGTTCAAATTGGGTTGATTATTAACTAAGATAGTACCTTTTATAATTTGCTTCTTAAAAATATTATATAAATGTTAATAATTTGTTATATAAATTGTTAATAATTGTTTATATAAATTATATAAATTGTTAATGGCCTATTTTGCACAGAGCTACATCAAATAGGTAAGGAAAAAATTGACTATTAAGTAGCCAAATGTGCAAAGGAAATAAACAAATGACTATAATTACAAAAGAAAACTTAGAGACCTGCCAAAATGGTAAAAAAATAATTAGTGGCTCAGTAGACTCCCTGTGAGAAGAAAAAGCAGGGATTTAATGGAAGGGTGGAGCCTAGGAAGAAGGGAAGGGTATCAAAGAAATTGACATTGTGTACAATGTCTTGGCTCCCACTTTCAAACCTGCCATTGTCAGCTTGAGGATATCTGCAAACTACCCAAGAAGAGGAATTGCAAACATGTGATTATAAAATTCTTAACTGCACCAGAAGTCACAACATTATACATTTAAAAAATAAAGAGCATTAAAAAAATTTTTAATACCTGGAGATGTCAGTGTTGGGATAAGGACACTCATATACATTGCTGGTCAGACTGTGACTTTACGCAACATTTTAAAAGTAATTTTACAGTATCTACTGGATCCTAAAATGTATAATATTTTTTAGATCCTAAAATTAGACCCTATAATCTGATTTGGGATCTACCCTATAAAAATAAAAGCAGTGTGCAAAAGAGCATTTATTGAAGTATTATTTATAGAGGAAAAAATTTAGAAGCAATTTTAATAGCCATCAATAAGGGAATGGTTTTTGTTTTTTAAGTTTTTATTTTCGCTCTCATTAGTTAATATACAGTGTTATATTAGTTTCAGGTGTACAATATGGTGAATCGACACTTCCATCCAACAACCACTGTTCATCACAAGTGCACTTTTTAATTCCCATTACCTATTTAACTCATCCCTCCCCCCAACCCTCCCCTCTGGTAATAATCAGTTTGTTCTCTATAATTAAGAGTCTTTTCTTCTATTTCTGTCTCTCTTTCTTATTTCTCTTTGTTTGGTTTCTTGAATTCCACATGAGTGAAATCAAATGATGTTTGCCTTTCTCTGACTTATTTTGCTTAGCGTTATACTCTCTAGCTCTATCCATGTCATTGCAAATGGCAAGATTTCACTCTTTTTTATTGCTAAGTAATATTCTATTGTATAAAAAGCTTCTCCACAATGAAGGAAACAATCAACAAAACTAAAATGCAACCTATGGAATGGGAGAAGATATTTGCAAATGACATTTCCAATAAAGGGTTAGTCCAAAATACATAAAGAACTTATAAAACTCAATACCCAGGCATCCCTGGGTGGCTCAGCTGTTTATCGCTGCCTTTGGCCCAGGGCGTGATCCTGGAGTCCCAGGATCAAGTCCCACATCAGGCTCGCCTCATGGAGCCTGCTTCTCCCTCTGCCTGTGTCTCTGCCTCTCTCTCTCTCTCTGTCTCTCATGAATAAATAAATAAAATCTTAATAAAAAAAAAAAACTCAATACCCAGAAAACAAATAATCTAATTAAAAATGGCCAGAAGACATGAACAGACATTTCTTCAAAGAAGATATCAGATGGCCAACAGATACATGAAAAGATGCTCATTATCACTAACCATCAGGGAAAT